TTTTTGGGATTTACGGACTTTTAACATCAGACCTACTTTCTTTCTGTTTGCCCACTGTTTTCATTGAGTATTGTCTGCCATATCAGTCACGTTTATTAGCTTGCTCAACGTGATGCCATCAGCGTAATGTCATTCTTGCACAGTATTACTCTACGATCTTGAAATATGTATGCACAGAAGGTAAATGGCAGGTCAGAATATTATCAGCAAGCAGTTACTCTTGCATCTGTGACTCTCTCAGACTGCTTGTGAGGAAAGATAGAATGGATCACTGATAGAGTTCTGTCCAAGCTGCAAGTGCCTCGATGCAGTGGCATTTTGTACCGAAAACTTTGGTGGGAAGGGTAACTGTCTTAAGCCAACACACTGTCATGCAGACGACAGGCTGCTGCAATTGCCACTCTCTCATTGCGGTTACCAGTGTTTTCAGCATAGAAGTTCTATTAATTATAAGCAGTGGCGTTAGGGCTTGACCCAGTAACGTGACGTCCTTTTTAATTATACTTGAACGCGATACTCTTTACGATAAAGGTAGTTTGAAATTAGGCTTGGGCTCATTTGCCGTAGTCGATCATCACTCTCTTGTGAGTAGTCAGCAGAACAATCGCTTTAGGCTATTTTTTGATTTGGACCTCTGACATAAAAGCCACCAGCGGAAAGTTTTTAGACAGTTATAATACAGTAAAAACTAAAATAATAATATAGGAGAAAACTTCAAATGACGAATGGTGAGGAATTTTATATATTAGTGCAATTTCAGTTAATATTGGAAAAAAGTTTCTGTTTAGCCTTTGCTGCGATGCTTCAGATATCTACGAGATTCCGGGATCGCTATCGACCTTCAGCTGATGGACAGCTTCCTGCGTCATTACCAAGTGCTTCCGGGGCGAACTCATCCGGCTATGACAGAATACATTGCGAACGGTTACATTTTGTCTGGAATTTTAGTTACGGATTAAAATTTAACTTTTTTCTCGTTATTTCCTAAACTTTTGGACATCATTCGGCCATGTAGAGTGGTACTTTTCTCATATTTTGGCGAATCGGTTTCAGAAGCAACAATTAAGAGTTAAATCCTTTTTAATGTCTAGAGCGAAGTTAAAGCGACGGCGGGGTGGAGTTTGTGAGACAGATGAGCAGCTGTGTTGATCGTGATCGAGTATTGCGTAAAATCGAATCGTACATTTTGGCATTCAAGTGCTGTTTGGAGAACGTTCCGGGCCCAACGTCTTTCTTACTAGGGTAACTGTTTTGTTTATATCTAGTTTCTTTTATGTTTTATACGATTTTTTGTATAAACAACATTAAGCAAAAGTGTTGCGGGACTCAATGAATGAATTTCAGTAAAAGTGCTAGTTTCTTCACGCAGCACGGTACAGGTTGCTACCGATCTGCTGGTATTCTTTAGTTTAGGCATTGGTTCATACATTTAGAGCTACATTGCTTCATAGAATTTGGACATTCATGCATGATTATTTGATGAAAAACTAGCGTGAAACAATGTTTATTATACATAGCGCGAAAGATACTAGTCAGTCTGGTAGTTGACTTATATCGACGTTTCGGTCCGTGGCTCATGGACTTTCCTCAAGGTCAGTTGGTATGAAGTTTCGTGAACGTGGTTAGTCGTCCGCAGCAGTCGATAGTTTCGGAGCTAGAAGGTTTTAAGCATTATTATTTGATGGAAACATTTTTTTCACGATGGTCAGTTCACTTTCACGGTTTAACTTGAAACAGATAATGTACTGCCAGTAGTTCCAAGCGTGACTTCATCATAATCCCTATACTAGCAGCAACAAATCCTCTTCGGTGCGTTTTACTAAAAGCTTGTTTATCCAGACGATGGACAGCATCATAAATAATGACTGTGGAACTGTAATCTGTGCAAAGCATGGAGAAGCCTAATTAAACATTTAGGGTACTCTATTCAGAGAAAACTATCCAAAATGTTCTTTTGAAGTTGACACCTGGCGTGAGCTGACAATTGCGGTAAATATGTTTGCATCAGGGAACATAAATGGCCCATGCTTAATCTCCCCATCCGGTTCTGTCAGGGGTCAGTGCTTATAAACGATGACCATAAAAGTAAATCCGCTGAAGGACACGAAAAGGCTTGTTTAGTCTAGTCCCACTTATTACTGTGCTGCATATATTATATCAAAACTTATCTTTCCTTAAACAAATCTGTAGTTTTGTTGCAGCCGCAAAACCTAGTTTAAGTTCTGCATTTGTTATATCTGAAGTGTTAAAGTTTATCGAAAACTCATCTTGCTTTGATTCAATGATTTTGTGCGCAAACCAGAGGCTGATTGTTGCAATACGTTATCATTAAGTTTTAATAGCCAAGTTTTCGGACGTACAACAGTTGATTTTGTTCAAAGCGAAAGGAACAAATTTATGTGCTTACAGTAGTAACAGACGGATCTCAGGTCATTTTCATTGGCTACTACTGTACTATCCAATCTTTGACGGTGCCTGTCAAGGCTATACAGCCGTTACCGCATTTCGATTTGCTATCTGATATGTGCAATAATTTTTTATCTCAGGTTTGCTATTTCGTCTGTAAATTTATAACCACGGTCTCAAGCTCAAGGAGGTCAAATCTTTGCACATGGTTGTTGATGACGGCTCTCTTGTATTTATTTATCAGACTTTCACTGCGGCAGTTTTACTTATAAAGTATTTGATACAAAGTGATTTTTAGAGTAGAGTATGGTTTTGTAGACAACGTGCTTATATGATTATCAAGTTTCAGTGCTTGGTCCTATTCTGAAACCTTTAGGAGAAGTGCTATTGCTGTTGTTACGGCTGCGATCATGACTGGTTCAGTCAGCTCCAATGATGTGTCGGGTAGCTGCTTTCCACCTCTGTCGATGACGCACAATTGAACCGTCAGTAAGTTCAGCCAGTCATAGTACTCCTACATTGCGACTCACAGAGGACTTCATCGTTAGCTCTGCCAGTGTCTCACCAGGCTTAGCTTAGCTGCATTTTCTCCCGTGGCGTTCAGTGAGCCTAAGTGCTTGCCATATTAAGCATCCTCAGGCTGTCGATAGGTGAACGACCCATAAAGAGAGAGGCATCCGTGACGAGCAAGCAGCCGCGTACCACCATGACTGCGGAAGGGTTCGGCAGACCCTGTAACGGTAACATGACGAGACGAGAGTGAACCCGCCGATGATACAGTCACTACTGCCTTGCGGTTGCACTTCGGAGGGTCGAAAAGCCAGAAGAGACAAATTCGACAATTAACCAAACCCCAGGTGCAGGTTTGGGATCCCGCTGTTTCAATCAGTCCGATGAAGCTCCACAGAATTAATCCTAAAACTCCTTAGAAACAATACATTTTGTTATGTTTTAAAGAACAGATTATAAGTATCCTCGCATATATCAGGTATATGTGAAATAGTGATGGACTTACTAAAACTGATTCGCAGAAGTAATTAATGAATATGAGTAGCTGAATTTCTGGTACGTCCTGTTAAATTGCTTGATTTCATTGTATAAAAGAAATTAATGCTTAGGTTTGTTATTGGAATGCGTTAAAGGTCTGAATCACAAGTTTTAGGATGTTAGCAAAGATGAAATGAAGATTGCAGGCAATGGTTTCTACGAACAAGAGCTTAAATCCTTTTTCTTACAGTCTATATTCCTGACTCCGTGAATAATTTTCAACCACTGATTTTAGTGTAGGCACTCCGTTTTGCATTACTTCCAAAACGGAAATGATATTCTCATGAATTCCATGGATTTTAAGACTTTTTAGGTTGTAAGACAACGGACAGATTCCAGTGTAGCGTTATAGTCAACCAAACTTGCAAATCAACCAACGATGGTAACCGGCGTTGCTTTTTGGTTCTGTGGTGGCGTCTTGGCACAGTGTGTAGGAGATCTACTTCGATTGCCGGTGTCAGTCCGATTCTGATAGTGGGTAATCTTTGTCTTATGCACCAATTCCACTGAGCAAGGAATTTACCACACATTGCTTATAACTGGGCTGCTCAGTCAGTAGTGCGTCGAACCCACGGCCGATAGGTCTCCAGTTCAAGCCCCAGTCGGGGTCACTCATCCTTCTCCCTTCCAAGGTTCATAAATGAGTACCACTTATTGGGAAGAAAACAGGTGACTACACGCCACGCTTGTCATATGACTGTAGACTCTACGTTTCAAAAATAGGTCACCCCTGGCTGATTGCATAGAAACGCGGAGCAGCACTTCTGTAGGCGCCAAAATGGTCCAATGTCCAATCATGAGTGAAGAAATATCGGTAGTCTGTGACAAACTTTCCTTTTCTTTCCTATGAAGAATGAAAATTGGATCATAGCAAGAATACGCATGAAGGTTGCCTGATTTTGGCAGTTTCCAATGAATTTTAAATGGCCTATGGCCTTTGCAAGTACTGTCAAGAGAATGGTTTATGTATGGGCCACAATGGTGTGATACTACTATAGCTAGAACTGTCTGCTTCATCACTTGAATCATTTATGAACTGCCAACGAATCTCGCTGCCTCAACACGCCCGCCATTCTTCATGGTTTCGAGCCTTCATCCTGCAAGCGCGGCCATCCTGGTTCCTAAAATAAAATTCCAGCTTTCTTCTCACCATCATGGTTGGCAAGCACGCCATCTAATTTGTCCGGGCCGGAACCCGTCGACTATAAGCCTTCTTCCATCGATGAGCCGAACTACGCGCCTGAACCGTTGTATCTTATTTTTTCTGCGTTCGATGCCTTCATTTTCGTCCGCTGATCACCCTATTGGGGATATGTTTGTTTCATGAAATTCCCAGCACTTTTTTCCGTGGCTCTTTCAGTGATAAATAGATGGC